TGACAAACTGAAATGGATATTCTTAATTGGATACCACATATTCCTTATGCAGAGCTCAAGAGATTTTGAAAGCAATGAAAGGCAAGAAACCAGTGTCCCAGGCAGCTCTACTGGCCTGCGCCTTCTGCGTTGGCACAGGCTACCCTACTGTTGGACTAATAATTTGAGAAGCATGTTCCCAAGGTCAGAATGAAAAATACCAGTTGCTTAGTTTTCAGATGGCTGCTAAATTTTGAGCTTTACTTTCTAAAGCCTAAATTAAACATTCCAACAGACATGAATAGCTCAACCCAAGGCCTGTTTTCCTGCATGAAAACAAGGATGACCAACAGTAAACCAGAGCCTCCTCTGGGCTTATCTCCTTTCAATTCTGAAATCCCACTCCTCCTTCCAACCACACATAATTCTAAGGCTTGCCAATACTTTTAACCCATGCACTGCCCCTCTTTCCTCAGTGGGCCACAGGAGGCAAGCGCAGTCAGAGCTCCTGGCTTTAGAGGGCGCTGGGAAGTGGTTGTTGAAGAATCGCTATCTTTGTATGTGCCCTGCTCTGTTCCAGAAAGAATGTCGAGACAGCTATAATCACTACCTAATTGATTTTTCTCGCTCCCACGCCCCTCTGCTCCTCCTCATAGGCTGACACCTTCACGGTGATTTGGCTTTAAATGAGAAGCAACCATACATTCATATTTATCAAGACAATATTAGTCCTACAAAGAAGGATGAAGCATGATTCATCCATTCAACAAACGTTTATTAGCTGTAGTTATGCGATTCTATCTAGTGTGGAATATAAACAAACAGACAATTACGAAGTATGAGGTAAACACATAACAAGACCTGGAATGCTCTGGAACACACAGAGGCACAGCTCATCCACCCTGGGAGGCTCAAAGAACAGTTCCAGAATCAAAGTTAGCTGACAACTCAAGGAATTTCCCCACATGAATGCAATATGCACAGCAGCACCACTAACTATCAGATAGAGTCTATGCAAATGGTGTAACCAAAAGAAGGAATGCCTTGGTCTAGATGTAACTTACATTTATTTACCAAGGCACTCCCAAAGCCCAAAGGTGGGCCACAGCTCACCTACACCCATGGATCTGCAGAAGCGTCCACGTCTTTTCACTCCTATGGAACACCCTCTTCTAGTTACCTCTGCTCTCTCCTACTCATCAAAAATTTCAACTTATCTGAACAAAACTCATCAAGTGTTGAAGTGTGCAAGAGTGTGACAAGCACTAGACACTGGAAAGGAGTCACCAGGACCCTACCGCAGGTCACATGACTACTGAAGTACAAGTGAGAAAAACCACAAGGCTATCCACTCCACTGACCCAGTCCACTCCCCAAAGACCATGTGATGTGAACCCACTACTAATAATTCAGTCTTATGCTTATCCTAAGTGTGACACATTTTTTTCTGGACTGCAAATCTGTCCAGTTCTGCAGACTCCAAAGCCCCTTCCCTGAGTGCTCTTCTTCTGTCCCTTCAGGTACTTTTCCTACTGCAGAGAACACTGGTATTTTCAATTCCTTTGTTCCTGTCCCTGGGGATGTATACCAGAACACTGGTGTCAAAGACAACCCAAGCTGACCATTCGCCCTTCCCAGATGCTACAAACTGAAAGAACAGTTGGGGGAAATGATTTTCTCTTGCAGTCTTTTGTGACTCTCTGTTCATGACTGGGGCCACCAGGAGAGCTGTGTGTCAGTAAAATCACCCCAACTTTCGATGTCATTGTAAAGAAAAAGGGGGTCGATATTTCAATGCTATTGTCAATATCCCCACACTGTCAATGGGTGTGACTAGCGTGGCATGTAGGAGCAAACCAGGCCTGGATCATACTCAGTATCTGTTCTAGGACCATTGCCTTAGGTTTTCCTCAAACGATCACAAACAAAGCGCAAATTCAGGAAAAAAAAAATAGTATGACTTAAAAGTGTTTTGGTTTACGTACTTCATATCTAAGAATGTATAATTATCTTTACCTTTTTTAGACTTGTTTGTTTTATTTTATGTATATGAGTGTTTTGCCTGCATGAAGGTATTACATCCCCCTGGAACTGGAGTTACAGATGGCTGTAAGCCACCATGTGAATGCTGGGAACCAAACCTGGGTTCTCTGTAAGAGCAACAAGTGCTCTTAACAGCTGAGCCATTTTTCGGCCCCAAATGTGTAATTATTTAGTTATGCTTCCTATAACTGAATATTAATTATCCTGAAATCTTAGCACTAGAAAATATAAAAACTGTGCTCCGTCTTCTGAAACTTGATTTGGCTTGGTGTCGCTTGGGGAGTGTTGTTGTTGCCTTCCCTGAGACAGTGGATAAGGTAGCTCAGGCTGGCCTTGAATTCACTGTGTAGTAGAGGATGACCTTGAATTCCTGATGCTCCTGCCTCCACCTCCTGAGTGCTTGGGTCACAGGTGCTGAGCTTTTTGAATGGCACTACAGACCCAGTACCAAGGCTAGGCCCACACTCGCATGCTACAGGACCTCATACACCTCTGTCGGGTGCCACACTTTACACAGCCTAAGTGGGAGCTTATCAATAAGGCGTGACATCATCATAATACATCTCACAATTTGCAGCTCTGGTTATCATTCAAAGCATAAGGAAGATCAGAAGGCTACATTTCTCAAATCCTGCACCAGGAGTGATCTCCAGGAGAAGCATGCGGGAAGTGTCCTTATTCTTGAGCACCAATGATATCCTCAAGTATGGAAACAGTCTTGAGGGTCTGGGCAGTTCTTGACAGCACAGAGCTAACACCTGGGTCCAAATCCAGCCTCTACTATTCCTTAGCTATATGACCTGGCGAGCAAGTGACTCACTCTGGGCATTGTTTTCCTGGTATATAAAAGAAAGAGCGATCGCTCCATAATAGCACCTTCCCCATAAAGCTGCTGTCAGAGTCCAGTGTGCGGGAGGCGTCTTCCTCACCTCAACCCCATTAACTCTAAAATTGTTCACTTTGAAGAATTCTGAACAGGTCACTGGAATGTAGGAAAACAAACACGAGGAAGCCAACTGGAGGAAAAGAGAAATGTTTCATAGTTGCTGTGTCTCGTTTGGTTGAGTCAAATTAAGGCTGGGGTTTTCAGGGACAAAGAACAGAGCCTCTCCACAGGACACCTAAGACAAGAAAGCAAGTGGCACTCAAGGCGGAGAGTTCTAAGAACTGACTTTGGATGAGGTGTGGTGTCCCTGAGTCACTTGTTCATATGGGAGGAAGCAGGATTCCTACACAAACGAGAAACAACCTCACATGATTCTTCCTCTTGATATTTCAGATCTACAGTTTAACTCAGAGCCAACCGCTCTGGACTCAGTAAATCTAAGGATATGGAGAGAGGCTGGATAAGAGGAGAAACGGAGTCCAGTGACCAGAGCAGCCGCTAAGAACCACTTAGTGGCTGTCAACCTCTAACCGAGCGACAGTTTATTTGGGGTGGGGTCCCCTCTATTGCTCCCAGGACATTCATTGCTACCCTATCTGGCTACACACTGCCACTCATGCAACATCTGTGTCTTTAGAGAGAGGAGAACAACCCCGAAATGCAAAGCCTGTCTGAAGACAACTGGTCCAGAGCTTATCAGTCATTTAGAAATAGTCATACAGGTCAACGCCACAGCAACATCACGTTGAAATAACGTGTACATACACACAAAGCCCACAAAAGCAACCCGGTGACTTGTCAACAGTCTAGACAAAGTTCATGTCAGGATCATGTTCTGAGTAAGGCACCCATGTGGTACGTAAAAACCTCTATTTTTCACCAAGAAAGTTCCTATCTTTGTAGACCACATCTTCAGAGCCACCAACAACTTAACTGCCCTAGTCAAAAGTATACAGACCCAAGCACAGAAGGAGGGAAATCTGAGCAGGGAAGGTCAATGTGAGAGAAAAAAAAATCCTGTGTCAGCAGCCATGGCAGAGGAAGATATGGCTCCTGGCCTCCTGCCTTCAACTCTGAGACTTCCAAGTCATGTCGCCTCTACTCCTCCCAGGAGGCCCTGGACACTCCACACTACCTGGGAACGCTGCTCCAAACTTTGAGTGTTCTGAAGCTAAAGAGGGGAAGTTTCGATGCAAGTATTTGCCCCCCACTCCGGGTCCTCACCCACAAAGCCCTAGCAAGGCCCTAATGCAGCCAAGAGAACACCTTCCCCGTGTCCTGACTCCCTTCGGCCACTACTATGTTCCTTCACCGGGTTCCTACGCCATCTGTAACCACTCTCTTCTCCAACTGAAGAACTCCTGCATTCTGCCACATGTTCCTGTCCACCCAAAGAGTGATTCTGGTGCCAGGCTCTCTGTCTTGCATAGTCTCTTCATTTGGGACGTGTTGAAAGATTCACTGGACGAATTAAGAACTCACGTGACCCTCCGCAATAGTTTATGGAAAGCAGCTTTCTCCAAGTGTCTCACCCCCCACCCCCCGTCCCATACTCTACAGGCAAAGTCCCAATACTAAGTACCCATCTGCCTCCTCCCACCCCGTAGAAAGAAGGTCATAATGGGAAACCCGCCACCCCTCAAAAGAAGCAGGTCTGAAAGTCCTGTTGCTTGTGCATTCTGAGTTTCTGGGAGTGGGGACTAGGCTGCTGGCATCAAGGGTAAGGGGAGAAAAGGGTGCCTTCCGGGCCCCGTGGCTTATGGCACTTGTAGAACCAAGCTGTGCTTTCTGGCCAGTTCTGTGTGTCTGTCATCTTCTGCCACACCACCCCCAATCTGTTTGCCAAGGACCTCAAGATGTTTCCGGAAGGTTCTGAATTATTGACAAACTTAGGGAAGATGCTTTGGAAAACACCAAGTACTAAAACAGACCTGTACAGCTAGTGTAAACACTTGGCCGTCAGCAGTTTCCTTTTTAAGGCCAAAGGGGGAGAGAAAGGAGGGGGAAAGGCTGCCTTGGCTAAATAATAATGATATTCCCAGAAGAGCAGACACTGAATTCCGAAGTTCAAGATCTCGGGAGCTCTACTCACCCCTAGCCATCTTGCTCCTTTATTGGCCGCCTGTTGGATCTGGACTCTTTTGAGGGTGACATGGTAAACAGCTCCTTCCTCAACTTCTTCACCCCAGTCCTGAATCGAGGTCTGCCGGGCAGGGGATAAGGAGAAAGAAAAGGGTCGTTTGTGTGTGCTGCTGTTGTTCGCTCCCCCTGGCTAACCACACTGCATCACAGCTGCTCCCCTGCTTCCAGCAGCACTCAGAGCCCAAGATGGGCTGTTCGGAATAAATATTTCAATCAGGGCAATACAAGACACATTGGATTAGGCAGAGCTGAGATTTTCTTGGCCGGGAGCCCTTTCCTGCGGTATCAGGATCCTCCAACTTCTCTAGTTCAGTTATTTTTCCAAGACTGGCCACATATCTCAAATCTTTTTTTTTTTCAAGTTTTCTTTTCTTCATAAGGAAACTGTGATTTAGTCCTGATCAACTCTGTCCCTTTAAGTGAAATGAAAAAGAACTCATGTGCAAAAACTAAAGTTTATCCCTTTACAAACATTTGAGCAATGTCGATTTCAAGCTCCTGCAAACAAGTGTTTCAATGCCAAGAGCTCTCTTTGGGAAGTGAAGTTGTATGTCTTTTTCTCCTCTTACTGTTTTGGAACCCAAAAAAGTTAGGGGGAATGTGGAAAGTTTTTATTTCCGTAAAAATAAAAACTCTGGCAAGTGCAGAGAAAGCAACACATCCTCATGCCTCTTCCACTGAAATTCACACAGCGACCCCCTGGATAGCCATGTCGCCTGCGGAACCTCGGATCAGCGTTAAAGGGACTGCTCCCCCAGACTGAGTTCTCTTCCCTTCCGAGTTCTGCTCTCCTGACGCGCATCTGTCCCAAACACCCCGCGGGCGCTGCCTGAGTATTGCAGGCAACGTTTCTAGGGAGAAGAAGCGCAGAGAGAGGAGGGATACAAAGCCGAGTGAGTGAGAAAGTTCCCCTCGGAGCTCGGGTCACTTCGACAAGACTCTAACAACCCGGCCCGAGAAAGCGGGAGGTGGGAAGATTCCCCCAGCAGAGAAGCGTCCGGGAAGGCAGGGAGCTCGCGTTACCATTTTAGCTTGCCAAAGCAATTTCATTCTCAGTTTTCTCTCCGGTACGCGAACACTGCATGATGCGCCCTGCTCCGAGGCGGCCGCGGCGTCTTGCTGGCCCGGCTCCGGGTCCCCGCGCTTCCCACGCGCCCCGCTGCCCCACCGCCGCCGCCGCCGCCGCGCGCGACTCGGCCACAAAGGAGAGCGGCCAGCGAGCGAGCGAGCGAGCGAGCAGCCCGGGAGCCCGCGGCCGCAGACTCCTCCCCGCCACTCCGTGATGTCAGGCTTTCCTGTTTGTGCTTGCGAGCGCACTCTCCCTTTCGGAAGCCCCGCGGATGAAGGCAGCCAGCAATCGTTTCTCCAGCTCCGGAGTGGTCGGGAGACGACGCTTTCAAGTAGACCGGTTCATCGGGGGTTTCCTGGTGGCCACCAGGTGCCAAAATAGAACCATGTGTGCCACACGGCATGTGTGCGCGGCCTCCGCAGCCTACTTCGCTGAAGGAAACTGGGGGAATTCAGGATGAAGGACACTTGTGTGATCTGCTTGCTGTTTGGGATTTGGAGTAATTAAATCAGAGTGCCCTCGGCTTCAGGGGAGCTTTTCATTAGGATAAAGTCAGAGATACCTGGGTATCCAAAAACCGTGCCTGGGGGCTCTACCCTACCCTGCACCTGCAACTGCTGGGACTTGTTCCTACAGCCCATTTTTGTTTCTTTGAAGGCTTTCTTGCTTTTCGTTTGGACAAAAGGTGGCCCTGGCTAGCCTTTAACTTTTGTGGCAATCCTCCTGCCTCTGTATCCTGAATACTAAGATTACAGGCATGCATCAGCACCACCACCAATTCTGATAAGGCTTAGTTTACCCGCCTTCCTGGCTGCTATGGCTGACAGACAAAGCTGGGCAGGGTTTTGCTGGATCTGACAGTATGTGGCATGGGCCATAAGTGGTCCTGGGGTTTCTGGCGTTTCTGTGAGTAGTCATGTGGTGTCTGCACTGTGGGGACACAATGGGATAATCACTAGGGAAAGCCCCTTCAAAGGACACAGCTGGTGGGAATTTTATCTTAACACAAAGATCTATGTGGGATAATACATTACATTTTAAAAGATCTAGTTTCAATAAATCAACAGCAAGAGATAACCAATAATAATGCAGCCCAGACTGCACCTTCCAGAACTCCACACCAACCACAAAAAGCTGAAGGCTCCAGTGTTTTACAGGCGTCACCCCTGATCAGTTTGAAAAGGACCACCACCTAATTGCCGTGCTAAGGCATAGCACTGAGCTTTGATTGGTAATAAATATATCATGAGCTGCAATGTCAGAGATCAGATGTACAATGTCCCCAGAAGGGCAATGCAAGGGAGCACACTTCAGTGTGTCTTCAAGTCAGTCAAATGCTCCTCAGACAGCCCCAAGCTTCAGGGGTCCAAGACAGTGGAGAGAGAAGAATGTTCTTTTTCAACCAAAATGACTGTTTCTGTAATTTAAATATCAAATATGCACACCAACATACACATACATTCCTTCTTCTGTGCTCAGTGCTTAGGACAGAGTGTCCCAGGAGCCAGAGAGAAAATATGTGGAGACCCTTCCTCAGACTTGTTAGGCCTTCCTCAGGGCTCTGGGTCACACCTGGAGAACTTATTTGGTGATCCTAAAGACAGCAAGAGGCAACCAAGCGACCCTTGAGGTTGATTTCCACACTGCTCTAACCCAGTCCGGACTGTAAATGTGAAGATTATTGAAAAACTTCTTCAGAGATAAGCAGCTTCTTCTCCAGGAATTCCTGGAAAAGGTGACTTGGACCTCACAAGCCCCTCCCAGATAGCTGTCCCAAAGCTCTCATCCTCCAGCACCTGCTGTGTAAAGGGAGGGACAACAGGATCCAGTTTGAACCAGACTTACAGTGCCTTCAACTGACATACCACTTCCTTGGCTACCAAGTGGGACAAACACCCACGGAATTTAAAAACAGTTAAATAAAGTAACACGTGAAAATCACCTGGTGCATGAAGAGTTGTCCAAAAGGTTCCATTCTCTCCCATTGCCTTTCCCCCGAACGGCTACTGGCCCAGACTCCATGAGAAGCTGAGTTATGTCTGCCATGCAGAGAAATCTAAAACAAGGTCTTCCCAATTATAGTTCCAGAGAGGCTTACCAAGAATGATCATTTGCGTTTATTCCTAAGAACGTGTTCTTTAATCCAAAAGCCCTAGTAAGAAGGTAATACTGATTACATTGCCTATAGGTGAAATATTTTAAAATAAAATTTAAAAGCCCTCATTGACTTCAACATTTGATAGTTCTAAGTCATGTAAAGCCAGCTGTTTTATCTTTTTCTTCCCTTATGCCTGCACGCCGCTATGACCCACCATGACGGTAGTGGACTGAACTGTAAGTCCCCAATGAAATGTTTTCCTTTCTAAGAGTTGCTGCAGTTATGGTGTCTTCCCAGCAACAGAAACCCTGACTACGACATACGCTAACTAGAAATGAACTTTTAAAGGAAAGATGGAAGGAAGGTGGGAAGGAAGAAGAGAAGGAGGTATACACGTTGAGGTACGCATGTTGAAGAGGACACAGGGCAAAGGGACCCCCGGTATACTGTTGTTGGGAATGGAAGCAGTATCCACTAGGAAAAACAGCACAGCTGTTGCTGAAGAAATTAAAAATACATCTACCAGAAGATTCAGTAATGTCAATTATGGATATTTATAAAAGTATGTAATTCCAGATCGCTAAGATATGCCTACACCTCCATATTTATTACAGCATATTCATGATGGCTAACCTACAGACACAATCTAGCTGTCATTCAATGATGAATGAATAAAGAAAATGGGATGTAATGGAGTTACCCAGCTTTTAAAAAGACAGAAGCCCTGTCATTCATGACTACCTGGATGGACCTGGAAGGCGCTACGCTGAGGGAAATATGTCAAGCTCAGAAAGACGATGTAAGATCTCACTTCCCTTATGGAATCTGAGTAGTCAGTCAAACATACACAACCAGAATAGAATGGTGATGTCTGGTGGGTGTGGGAAGAGGAGGATAGGAAGGAATGGTCAAAGAATACAAAGTTTCAGTAATACGAGATCATTTTTGCACAGGGCCGATAGCTACTTTATTGTATGTTTTAAGTTGCCTAAGAGTAGATCTTACATGAATGTGATAGCAACAATAACAACGGAGCAGGAAGAAACCCTGAAGATGATGCCCCTGTCCTTGGCCTTGATGGTGGTAATGGTTTCACGGCTTTGTACTGATCCCCAAGCTCATCAAGTTACAAATAGTAAATACATACAGCATGTCACATGTCACTCATACCTTCATGAAGTCACTTACAAAGCTTGTTTTGAAAATGACAATGCCAACATAAGATGGCTAGAGATAGCAAGGCCTCAGCTTTGTCATCCCCAAACTCAAGGCTGGACCACAATGTCTTATGCCCAATGAAAAGTTTAGAGGAAGGAGCCAGGTGGTGGCGCACGCCTTTAATCCTAGCACTAGGGAGGCAGAGGCAAGCCGATCTCTGTGAGCTTGAGGCCAACCTGGTCTACAGAGCGAGATCCAGGACAACCAAGGCTACCCAAAGAAACCTTGTCTCAAAAAAACAAAAACAAACAAAAGTTTAAAGGAAAGCAGTCCTGAGAGAGAAGAAGTAATATCAACAACTGTGGGGGGAAAAGAAATGAGTGGTCTACGATTCCTTTTCACCTTGCCTTACCATGGCTGAGTAGCAATTGTCTCCTTCCACCCAAAATTACTACCTAAGGGAGAGCCTTTCCTACTCACTGCTAATAGAGTTGAAATGAAACTGGTAATAGCCATTTGCAATAATTTTATTAATAACTATACCTTCGGCTATCTGTAGATCCCCAATAACAATTTTAGAGGAAGATATAAGCAAATAAATCAGATACTTCTTAATTTTACCTCCAGCAATATCTAAGTACGGCTGAAACATGAGGCACTCGATCCTCTGGACAACCCCATGAATGCTTCTCCCTGGTCTTCGGATTTGTGGGCTGTGTTGCTTAGCAATAGCTTC